GCTGTTCTACACACCATGGAGTCACCAGGGCAGGCACAGCCTGAGGACTGCTGTCCTGCACACCATGGAGTCACTCTGATCAGGCAAAGAAAGCCCTGCTCTTCAGAAGGTCCTGGGGGATGGACACCTCCAGGGGAGAAGGGGCTCCTATAAGGTGGAGGTCCTGGGTCTCGCTAGGGCCCACTCTGAAGGATCAATAAGTGAGCATTTACCTGCTGTCTGGGCTGTGGGGACCGTGGGGAAGGGTCAGGCTGAAGGCGAGTCCTGGCAGCCCAGCCGCTAGGTGGCGCTAGCCTCCTCCCTTCCCAAGGCGGGGCCTGGGCGTGGCCATCGGGAGCCAGTGCGCATGTGCACAGTCCCGAGGTCGCTGGGATCGGGGGCGGGGCCTGAGCGTGCTTTTCCGGTCGCTAGGCTGCGAGCCCCCGCAGGTGGGATCGCCGTTGGGAAGCGCGGAGGGGCTTTCCAGTGCCGGTGTGCGGGCGGCTGTGTGATGTGGGAGGGGTCACAGTCGGGGAGATCCTGGCGTGTTCTTGGGTTCCCAGGCATATTGGGGAGGGGGTCCTGGCAGCTGGGGTTGCGGGTGGGCGCCGCTGCCCTTTTTTTGGGTAATGATGAAAGCATTTTTAAACCTGTAGCGAAAGAGGTCAAAGGTGGAAAAGCGCCTGTTAGCTGACGGTGGTGCGCAGTGCCGTGGCGTCTACCCTTTCCCCCTGGTACCTAAATTCTGGCTTTGCTCTGAGGGGAAAGGGCCTGGGAGGAGGTTAAGGGGCCAGGGTCAGTGGTGCACGCCTGTTGTCCCCGTGGCTCCAGAGGCTGAGTCGGGAGGACGGTGAGTTCAAAGCCAATGTCAGCCAAGGTGAGGTGCTAAGCAACTCAGTGAGACCCTGTCTCTAAAACACAGAATCGGGCTGGGGATGTGGCGCAGTGGTCGAGTGCCTGGAGTTCAATCCCTGGTTCCAGAAAAATGGAGGTTAAAGTATAACACGAAGAGAAGGTGCCTGCTGCAGGTGCACATGCAGTGAATTCCCACCAGTGAATTTTGCAGGGTGGCCACGCTGGGGCCCAGGGCAGCATCCCTTCCAGGCTGGTTCTGCCCCCTGACTCACCTGAGTTCTCCAGAGGGGATGTGCTGGTTGCTGTAGGGCTTCCTCATGCTGCTGTGGCTGGGAGGGACTCTCCAGTGTTCCCAAATTGCAGGTCCAGTCCTTTGTTTTAATTTTTAAGATTTATTTTGTGTTTTATATTTTTAGTTGTGGATGGACACAATACTTTTGTTTATTTAAATAGTTTTTTTTTTTAACATGGTGCTTGAGATCAAACCCAGTGCTCATGCTAGGCAAGTGCTCTGCCACCCCAGCCCCCCATCCCTTGTTTTTCAGGCAGAAGCCATGGTGCTGTGTCATGTGCCAAGATGGTCTGTGCGCCTCTGGGCCTGTCCAGGGTGGTGGAGACCCACGAGTACTCTCAGAGCCTTGGTGCGGCCGAGGGGGCCAGGGTGCCCGGGAGGAGCGTCTGGCCCCCTGGCTTGCAGAATGTTCTCCAAAGTGTCCTCCTGCCCCCCTGAGGTGATGCTGACCCAGGAGCGCTACCCTGTGCAGCGGCTGCCATTCTCTGTGGTGTCTGAGGAGGACCTGGCAGCTTTTGAGCACATGGTCCCTGGCAGAGTTGTCACAGACCCAGAAGAACTGGAGGTGTCTAATGTGGACTGGCTGAGGACAGCCCGAGGTGAGTCAGGACCTGGGGCTAGGCAGCCAGGAAGTGCGGGTCACTGTCGGTGCCTTTCCTGCCTCTGGAGAAGAGCGAGCTGTGGTGCCCCTGAAGTCCTCTTGTGGGTGTGTGACATCTGCAGGTCGAGAGCTGGCACGGGCCCTGGCTGGTCTGACAAGCACCTGTCTTCTCCTCTGGGGACTGCTGTGACCCAAGACCACACAGAGGTCTCAGTGCCACAGGCCAGGAGCCTGGTCAGAAGGGGGGCCGAGTCTCTGGGGCCTTCCTGCCTCTCCAGCTCCTAGCTCTCCGCAGCAGCACTGCAGCCTGTTTCAGCTTCCCATGGCCCCTCTGCGTCTGTGTTTCCTGCGTCTGAGTGAGACCCTTGTGCTGGGTTCAGGGCCCACCTGACAGAGGTTGACCTCATCTCACTTCTTAGTGCTTCTTTCAAGAGCCTTTCCATAGAAGGATACTCATGTAGGTTCCTGGGGACGTGGACATGTCTCTTGGGGTCCATGTAGCCCAGCAGAGTAAGAGGCAGGGCTGCTGGCCTGCCCACTGCCTGCTGACTCCTCCCACACCTGTCCCTCTGGATCACAGTGGTTTATCTTTTGAAGTGGTTCAGAGATAATGCCCAGCTTGCATGCTCACACTGGTTTGTTATTTACTTATTTATTTTGGTACTGGGGATTAAATCCAGGGACACTTTACCACTGAGCTATCCCGAGTCCTGTTTAGAGTTTCATTTTGAGACTGGGTCTTGCTAAGTTGCCCAGGCTGGCCTTGAATTTGCAATCCTCCTGCTTCAGCCTCCTAAGGCACTGGGATTACAGTTAGGGCCACCACACCTGGCCTGTTGACATGATTTAAAAAGCCAACATGAAATTATTGCTGCAATAGTGAAGAGAGGTAGCAGAAAAGCAATGGACAACAGTTGAAAACAAAATGACACATTTAACCGGAAACCCAGGTTCTCAGGCTAGCCCTGCTCCTGCAAGCTTGTGCTATGATGGGGCAGATCTTCCCAGACTGTGAGAACCCGAGGGAAGTTCCGGACCACATCATGCTGAAGTATGGTGCCAAGGTCTTGGAGGCTCCGGTGGTACAGGGGCTGTGCCCTAAGGGGTGGCAGCACACACTGAAGTCAGGGGCCACTTTCCCATGCAGGAGTGGGGGCACTCAGGGTTCCCCTGCCATACCCTGCCCACTGAGGAGGCAGGTGCCTGGAGGCTCAGCCATGTTGTACCCCTGCTGGGGGTCCTAGGCAGCCGAAGGGTCCTCTGCACAGGGTGCGTGCCGCCTCAGGGGTGCTGCATGGTGGAGGTTGCAAACCCCGCACCAGCTGCTCCAGCCTGGGCTCTGTACCCTGCCGACACCCGGGGCCAGTAGCTGCTGTCCTGGTGGGCGAGGGGCTGTTCCCAGGGCTTCCAGGGGCTGGGGGCCTCCACTCGCGCACGTCTGGAAGGACACCCGGGAGTGGGAGCAGGCAGCATAAAGCCTCTGTGCTCCTTGGAACCGGGGCAGCAAGTCTGGAGGGCCATGAAGCCTGTCCCCTTCTCTGAGCTGGTGGGACGCCGCCGAGAGGCACTGAGTGGAGAGGAGCTAGTGGGACAGGCTCTGGGGGAATCTGGGGCTTCCGGAGAAGAGTCTGGGGGCTAGGGACCTGGCTGGTGGAGGCAGGAGTCATGGTAGGTTCCCTAGTGCTTGGAGGATGTGGTCCCTAGGCTTGCTGAAGGTCTGACCACAGAGGAGGAGGAGCATGGTGTAGCCGGACAGTGGAAATCCCCATTTACTGAGAGGAGGGAGCAGGTCTGCTGGGGAGAACCAAGAGCTTGGGTTTGGACATGTTGCGGTGGACTTGGCCAGAGGACCCATTGGGCTGAGGGACAGTCTGGAGTCCAGGGCAGGGGCCAAGCTGGGACCCCGGGTCCCACAGCTGACCACAGTCAGCGGAGAGCAGGAGATGGAGCAGGCAAGGCCGAGGGGAGGAGGAGAGCTGAAGGAGTGTGCTGTGGAGGGAGGAGGTGTGTGGTGCGGTTGCTCCAGGTGAGACCAGAGCCATGGCGTCACTGGTGACGTGACAGAAGAGATGTGCTGCGGGAGCCAGTGCGGGCATGGCATCTGGGCTGGGAGGGTATGCACTTGGAGTCACGTGGAGGGGCTGTGGGCAGGTGTGTGGGAGCTGGTGGGAACAGGGAAGAGAAGTCTTCTTTTCCTCTTGAGTTTTAAGATGAGAGACTTCCAGCAGGTTAGGAGTCCATGGGAATGACCAGGAGGGGCAGGACACAGGGGTGGGGCAGGGGCAGAGGGGAGGTGGGCGGTGGGTGCAGAGGCGGGTGGTGGAGAGGCGAGTGTGCTGGGCAGGGCACACTCAGTGAAGTGAGTTGGTGATGCAGTGGGGACGGGGGACCCAGATCTGTTGTGGTTTGGCTCTGGAACGTCCCAGATGTGTTGAAGGATGGTCCTCAGTGCATCAGTGATAGAGGTGCGGCCTTCAGGATGTGGCTGGACCTGAGGGTGCTGACCTCGGGCTGGATCAGTCCATCAGTGCATTTGTGTTTGATGCCATTATTGGGAGGGGATTGAAGCTCTAGGTGGTGGGTCTGGTTGCAGGGAGTGGGTCATTGGTGTGTGCTCTGCCATGTCCTTCTGCTGTGAGGCTCTGCCTCACCTGCCCAGAGTATGAGCTGGCTGATCATAGGCTGAGAACTCTGAAACCTGAGCAAAATCAACCTTTCCTCCTCTGTTTTTCTCAGGCATTTGTCACTAACAGTCTATGTGGGTGAGGGGGTGACTGGGAGAGGGAGGTGCAGTCAGGCATGGGTTTAGAACAAGGGTCCTGGCTCTGGCCAGGTTGGCGAGGAGTGTGAGGACCAAGCTGGAAAGTCTGCAGGGTGTTTGGGGTACACCGTGCTTGGCTTAGAAGTTTCTGAGGTGTGCACTGTAAGCCCTGAGCCGCTGATGTGGGTGCTGGAGCCCTTGGTGTTGGGAGGGTTTGTGTGGCTGGCCAGTAGAAGCCTCTACAGAGCTGCCTGGTGGAGCTGGGTGTCGTGGCCATGTGAGTCCCAGCAACACAGAAGCTGAGGCTGGAGCACTTGCAGCCCATCCTGGAACATAGAGACCCAATCTGGAGATAAAGGTAAAGGACTGGAGGTCCAGTGCAAGGGGTCCGACACCCAGCACCACAACAGACCTTCCTCCCCTCCCCCACAAGAAAGCACAACCCAACCGCAACTCCAGTGTTTCAGTGTTTCAGGCCTGCAGGCCTGTGGCCTCTGCAGATGCCCAGCACTGCTGCTGCAGCGTGAAGACAGCCATGGATCAAGACAGACATGGTGTGAGTGCGTCTGCCAACTTTGTTTACAGAAATAGGCAGCAGGTTAGTGTTCACTGGGTGAACACTAGGCCCAAGGAGATGACCAGGAGGAGAGCTGGGGGCCAGGACTGGGACAGTGGTGGGGCGCCAGCCGTGTGAGTGGTGGGATAGGCCATGGGAGGCCTGGGAGAAAGGAAGTGCGTGAGGAGCCCGGTCCTTGGGGGCTGCTGGGAAGGTGGTGGCGGCTTCTGGAGCATGGCGCCCTGGCCAGGCTGATGGAAGTTGGGGAGGTGCTTCTTGGTTTTCACAAACTCCAGAGGATGGTGAAGCACCTGGGGCTGGAGTGGTGGGAAGGTGGCCAGGGGAGAGGAGGAGGGGCCCGTGTGGTGGACGTCCTGCCTGGAAGTGCTGACTCTGCGGCTTTGGTGCTGTCCTCCTGTGTCCTGACTCCTGCCTCCTGGCTTCTGTCCTTTCAGTGGACGGTCCTGTGCCCCTTGTTGTGTTGTCTGCCGGTTAGCGGTGGACACTCTCCTCTGCCTGCCAGGGGCATTCTCTCGGGTGGGCACTTGTGTCTGCCTGGACCCTGATGCAGATTCTTTGGGGTTTCCTTGCCCACCCAGCCCAGGCTCTGCCAGGCAGAGTGTTCTGAGTGCACCTGCAGGAGCTCTGGTGGCACAGCGCCCGGTGCGGGATGGCAGCCCACCCAGCAGCAGGTGTGCGTGACAAGCAGACGCGTGCCTTCAGAGTGCAGAAGTAAGCAGGAGCCTGTTTCCGGAGCATGGCCATGGCTTCTCCCAGGGCCTCTGCCACCTCAGAGACCCCAGAGAGGTCCAAAGGATAGGTGAAAGCCCAGCCAGGCTGGGCGGCAGTGCTCGGGAGTGCCACTCTGGGGCTTAGAAGGGCTCCTTCCACTGTCTCTGGGCCACAGAGAGTCACAGGCAGGAAGAATTAAGCCCGAGCAATGGGAGAAGAACCCAGGAGCTGCCCTGTGAGAGCAGGCAGCTGGACCCAGGAGTCCTGGGAGGGAGCAGGGCCAGGTGAAAGAGTAGGGTGAGCGGTTGGAGAGCAGGGACTGCCAGCCGTCACAGTGACCGCAGGTGGACACTTGGCGCACCTAATGCCAGCAGGTGAGAGCTCCAGGAGCAGCTGCAGTCTCCAGGGTCTCCCAGGACCGTGCCCTGGAGAAGCCCTTGTGGTTCAGATTGCCTTCACTGCTGACAGAGCAGCTGGGCATGGGGAGCCCCCCTGTGTGTCCCCCGGGGCCTGGCCACGAGGACCAGGGAGTGCCTGTGGGGAACGCCCTTTGGGATGTGCTGGGTGCCTGGGAACTGCTGTCCTTTGTGCTGGCTACCCACCTCTGTCACAGGCTGTAGCAAGGTGCTGCTGCGACCCCGGACGTCGGAGGAGGTGTCCCGCATCCTCAGGTAACAGATGGGCTGGTGTCCCCTGGTGGCAGGGGTGTCGTTACATGTGTCAGGCAGGGTCACTTGGGGACTTTCATGTTGCAGTTTGAATTGGCCCCATGCTCCTGCCCCTCAGGTTGACTTGATGTGCATGGACAGATGGCCCTGGGGGCAGGAGCGCCCGTTCCTCTGCTTCCTACCCCTGGGCGCCCTGGCTTCAGGCTTTGCCAAGTAGGCCTGGCTGTGGAGGAGCAGCCACCGATGACTCTGAGGTCCCAGGGGTGGGGAGTAGACAGACATGGGAGGCAGGGCAGGAGTGGCGGGCTGAGGGTGGCTGCAGACCTGCACGTGTGGGGCTGGCCAGGCGCCTAGGACTGTCTTTCCCTACAGGCACATGGCCAGTCAGGACCCCTCTGCCTGTGTGGTTGCCTGCAGCATGCTGGGAGGAGCGTGGCCAGCAGGTGGAGGGAGGCCTTGAGGATCAGCTTTGGGGGCATGCTTGCATGTAGCCTGTCCCTTGCGGGCAGTACTGGGAGCAGAGATGCTGGCCCCATGCCCCTCCTGTGCTTTCCCAGGTACTGCCACGAGAGGAACCTGGCCGTGACCCCACAGGGTGGGAACACAGGTTTGGTGGGGGGCAGCGTCCCTGTCTTTGATGAAATCATCCTGTCCACTGCCCTCATGAACCAGGTCACCAGCTTCAACAGTGTGTCTGGTAAGCCACGTGGCCCTCGGTGGTGGGGAGTGTGTGTGTACGTGTCCCCGACTGGGGAGGGACCAGCGGTGGTGCATGGCTACCACTGGGCCCTCTGGGTGGGTCCGCCACGGGGCAGCTTGGATGCCTGGTATGATGTGAGCTTGTCACTCTGGTCCTTTTGGACCCTGGCACTTTCTGGGCATGATGGCCTTTCTGGAGGGTGGTGAGGTGTGGTTCTAGGAGTGACAGGACCTTGGGTCTGCTCTGGGCACTTGTCAGGGTCATCTCTGTGCTAGGGTCTCGAGGCAGGCTTCCTCCCACCACCAGTCCAGATGTCATTGGTCCTGGGGCAGAGTCACCTGCCCAGGGGAGAGGACTGCTGCTATGTGACAGTTTTCTCAGCCCTGAGTGTGTGTGTGTGTGTGTGTGTG